GCTGGAAATTAACAAATATTATTCCGATCTATAAAAAAAGGAGACAAACTACTTCCTGAAAACTATCGCTCTATTTCACTAACCTCTGTTGCGTGCAAAATATTTAAAAAAGTTGTAAAGAATAAAATCTGGAAGCACATCAACGATAACAATCTGCTCTCTACAAGTCAACATGGCTTCCTTCATCATAAGTCTTGTGTAACCAATCTAATAGAGACTTTGATATTATTTTGTCTTCCCTAGCATCCAGAGGCGGACTGGCCAGGTGGGACAGTGGGAATAGTCCTACTGGGCCGATGTTCCAAAAATCGAGTTTAAAAAATTTGAGAAACCTGGCTAACGCAAAAAACTCAAAATCAAACAAAAATTAGTTTGTTTTAGCAGCACAATGACTTCAAATGTATTTCTGTATTACTGAGCTTTCTAAAGCCGCCGGCCTGAATCATTTCATTTTGATACTGTGCATTTTAATTTATAAATATGAATTCTAAAAAACAAAAAGGAGGAGCGGCCAAAGAACGCGAAAAAAAAAAATCAAATTACAAATTGCTGCCCAATCATATCATAACTTATTAAATTTGTTTAAGAAACCAATAAATCAGACTGCAATAAATTCTACTGCTATAATTCAAAAGAATTATCTGTATGAAAGTGATTTAACAAGTGACATTGATATTACTTTAAATTCATCCATTATTATAAATCAGGTAGACACAGCCACAGAGAGTTTATTGGTAAGATTTTCAATATTATATTATTAAAAAAGGTGTCTATCTACATTATTATTTTGTACACCATTAATATACAATATTATAAGAATGTTATCGATTATACAAATTATGTATAAAAGTATATTTGTTCAAATTTTAGTGTGATAGTAATTCTACTGCAATAGTTCATAAGAATCATCTACATGAAGGTGATTTAACAAGAGATATTGATATTGATTTAAATTCATCCATTTCTATAAATCAGATATGCCCAGCCACAGAGAATGTATTGGTAAGGTTTTTAATATTAAATAACTAGTAACTGCTAATTATATTGGTCTTACAAACAAATTAAACGCATTTTATTGCTAAAAGTAGGTTTTTATTATTAATTTAGGTTTTTAGGTTTTTATTATTAATTTAATTTGAACTTATATTTTAGAAAGCTGAATCTCTAGAGTATCATTTGCCATCTAATGATGAATTATTAAAACTAAAAAAATATCCTGATATCCTCCAAAAATTAAACTTCATCAAAAAACATCCTATCCAGCCATCATTCTTCAGCAATATCCAACTAGATTTACAAAAGCTCTATTTTAGAAAAACATCAGATGGCAAAAAAATTTCACGAAAGTGGTTATCAGTCCTCTGTATTGATAATGAACTCAAAGCTTTATACTGTCCGTTTTGTATTGTATTCAGTTCATCTCCTACTACATTTTCTAATGGCTGTAATAATTTTAAACATATCCATGAAGTTGTTAAAATACATGAAGAATCGTTAACACACAGGCATTCAGTAGAAGCCTATATTCAATTGTTAAATGATAAGTCTGTTGAATTTGGTATTAATAACAATTTAATGGCATTAAAAAAAAGTCAAATACAAGATAATATCCATGTTATAAGTGAAGTTTTTGAAATAGTTAAATTTCTTGGTCGTCAAAATTTACCATTTAGAGGTCCTAGAAACTCTGAAAGTCTGTATAAGTGGAACAATGAAGACAATTTAAACAAAGGCAATTTTTTGGAGTTGGTTAAATTTACAGCCAAACGGGATGCTACATTATACAAACATTTGAATGCAGCTATAAAAAACAGCAAACGCAGAAAAGACAATTTGGAAAAAAAATCATTAATTTCTTGTGGCAGGGGTTCACTTGTAACTTTATTGTCTAAAACTACTGTGAATAAAGTTATTTTATCTATTGTGAAATCGATAAGAGATAGAATTAAATTAGAATTAGGCGAACAAAATTTTAGTTTACAGATTGATAGTACGCAAGATGTTGGTGTTGTAGATCAGGCAGCAGTATGCATCCGGTACATTTATGAAGGAGAAGTAAAAGAAAGGTTATTTGCTTTATTAAAAGTTGTCGAATCATCAGTGAAATTGATTCAAGTTTGGGGTCTAATAAATTGAAAAAACTTCAAAAAATAGGAGAAAACAATACGCGATGGTGGTCGCGAGAAAAAGCACTGTTTTGGATTTTTGATGGTGATAAATGTCTTTTTCCTACAGTTGTAAGTGCTTTGCATCATATTTCTATTTCTAGAAATTTTGAACCTAAAGTTTGTTCAGAAGCATCTTCTTTATTAGATAATTTATGTAATTTTAAAATAATTCTCACAGCTCATATATTTTTAAATGTCTTTAAAATTATTGGGCCAACGTCACGTTATCTTCAAACAAGAGGTATGGATTTATTATCAGCTTGGAGTATGGTAGATTCTGTTAAACAAGAAATTGGACATTTAAACTTTGACAATATTTTAGAAAATTCTGTACATTTTTCCAACAATATGAATGACTTACTTAATAGTATGAATGCGGATGATTTGTTAGTACCAAGTACTTTACCTATTACTAGGCAAAGCAGAAAAAAAAGAATGTATGATGAGCTATGTGCAGACGAAACACCAGAGTTACCATTAGACAAGTTCAGAGTTGAAACTTATCAATCAATAGTTGATCACATTAATAATAGTTTAAATGAACGCTTCACCGACAACAATCAATTGATAGCGGATGTTCAATACTTGATACCTAAAAATTTTAAACAAATTGAACAAATGCCAAACACAGCTTTAAAACACTTGGCCAATTTAGCAAATTTAGATCACATACAACTTTGCTTAGAACTAAATAATTTTTCTAAAATGTATCCCAAGTTAAAAATGTCTACAACAGAAAGAACTAAACAAATATACCGTCAATTTGATACTGATTCAGATGAAAACACAGATAATGATGAAGAAAATATGAATTATGATGCAGCATTTTCTTGTGAGTAAAATTGTGCTTATATATTGTTCTATATATAATTTAAAAAATTATTTTGACTGAACTTTATGTTGGATTTTAGGTAACAACAAAAACAGCATACATGATACTAACAATTGTTTACAATGTGTATACAAACTTGTATACAATTTAAATATGCATGTCTCGGCTTATACTCAACTATGTGCTTCATATGAGTTTTTTCTTACTTTGTCAGTCACTGCGAAAGTCAACTGCGAAAGGACATTCAGCAAAGTTAAGCTTGTTAAAACAAGACTCAGAGCCAATATAAGTCAAGATAATTTAGAAGCACTCTTAATTATGAGTGTTGAAAAACAATTACTCAATGAAATTGAAATTTCAAATGTCATTGAATATTTAAAAGCTAGTTCTACAGTAATGACTAAAATATTTTCAATATAAAATTGTCATTTAAGTTTTGTTTTATATAATTTAAGTATTTTCTTAACTATAATAAATAATAATGCATTAATTCGTATGGATTTGATTCTTCTTCATTCTCTGGCATGACTACTCTCTAAGAGATTTTGCTGACATTACAAAACTTTGCCACCTATCTCTATCTATGAATTATATTATATGAAAAAAATTGTTTTGAGTCTAATTGTTGATTATCATGTTTTTTAATGTTGAAACTAGACCCATAGTATCAGTATGTAACATAACACATACCAGAGTACGTATTTAACCTAATTAAATTAAATTGTAGATGCTATTTATAGGTACCTTATAACAATTAATTATATTTATTTATGATTTTTTTTGGGTAGGGGGGTCTTTATTTTTTGGGGGGCTAATCACCCTTCAGGCCACCTCTATTTGGGCTGGTGACCGTGATTTCCTACTGGGCCGAACACCCCTCAGTACGCCTCTGCTAGCATCGAATACAAATTTTTAAACTAATACATCAATTTGATATAATTAATTACTTGAGCAAGTAACTTTATACTCAACTGTATTTTTTTTTTAAATTAAATTAGATTATTTATTATATTTAAAATTATAACACTGTATCTTAAAAGCTCTGTATCTTAAAAGGTCTGGCCACTCCTGCACTAAATAGATCTAGATTTTTTATATAAACTAATAGATGTAGATTTTTTTGTTTTAAAGCATTCATTGATTATAGCTTTAAAATAACAGTAAATCTAACATGTTTGAAAAATGTTAGATATTTTACAACTTTTTATTTTTTATATATGTTAAATTAAAAAATGTGAATTAAAAAAAACCTTTGCTATGCAAACGATAAAACATTGCATTGCTTAAGAAACTCTTAGAATGAACTAAAAGTAAAAACATCCGTTTGTAGATTTTAATGAAAGATGGCTTTGGAGCAAGCCAACAGATTTCTCAAACAGTGTTATAAACACTTTTTAGAATCAGGCGAAGTTGACGAATGGAAATTATTTTTATCAACTATTATTCGACTGAAGTCATTAAAGCTATGGTAAGTTCAAAAGTCTTATATAAATCAGATTTAAAAACCATATTAAAGCAGATGTTTTTAAATAAAATTTAATATCTGTTATCGTCGAACCACTAAACAGTCATCAATGCAGAGTCGACTACGCAGGCTCTAAAAAAAAGAGTGGAGGAGGGAGGGGGGAGGCCAGTCCACCTCCCCTTGCTACTATTTTTTTAAATTACATTTTTTTTAGAAATTTCTTGATATATAGGACTTTTTTTTAGAAATTTACGATTGTGCCCCTACACTTCGAAACCCGTATTGTTAGCCCTGCATTGAATCGTTTATTTTTAAATTTAATATACTTCTGGACTTTGATTAAATTATTTGTTAAAATTATATCTACAAATATGAATAAAATTTTGTTAGGATAGATCTAAAGCTTGCTATCTATACCATCTTGCAACTACTAGATCACGATCCTTTGATTATAAAAGAGTTGTGTTACTTCCTACCGCTTTCTCTTCAAGTGGAAATTTTCAGATATATGAAAACGTTAGGAAAACCCTCTTAT